TGACAGGTCTCTCAAAGACAAGCACTTTATTCCCTTGTAGGACAAGTGTTTGGAGTCACTCTTCACGTAGGGCTTCTGCATTTCCTTTTCCTGGACCTGAAATTTGCAAGGCTTTCCACCATTGTGGTTCCAATCCACTGCCTTTGTGCCTATTCTGGGATGTCCACAGTGGTTTAGGAGTCTCTGAAATGAAAGTGACAATTGAAGAGTCAATAACCACAGCAATACTCATGTAGTGCTTTTAGTGTCAAGGAGTGTGGTAAGAGTAACAATTTCTGCTCAGTTTCTGAAGCCATGAAGCCCTTCTCCTCCAGCCGCAGCTGACAGACAAAGCAGAATTCACACGCTGCACTTACAAGAACAAGAGATGGGAATGGAGAGTTCATGTGATGACGGCATCAGGCAAATGCGACCAGGAAGTTGGCAAGTGGAACTTACTGCAGACACCCCGAGCGCACCATTTTGCAGAGTCCCAGCAAGAAAGACAAAAGCAGCTGAGTGAGGGAAGAAGGAAGACTGACTCCTGCAGCAGAGCTGTGGGTTTGGATAAGAACAGGGGAGTCTGTAGGGGAGGTAGTGGTGGTCTTCTGCATAGTTGGAAGTAATTAGGGCAGCCATAAAGATTGATGCTAGGAGGATTACTTGTGTAGGAAGGTGTTCCTATATAAATCCTGACAACTGGGGAAAAGTAAAACCAAATCTATTCAGTTTGGCTGTTAATCTGCAAGAGGAATACACCTGCACCAGATATTCTCAGTCAGCATGGAGGAGGCAGCGCGTGGCCATCCTGTCCTGGTATTAGAGCTTGCATGAGCTGTGCACTGCTTTTCTACGTACGACTGTATTTCATGCATTAAATGCAAAACAAAATTAAGTATGTTAAAAGCGATTTATGAATTAGTGGCTGCCGACCTGTAAAGGGGCACTGGATGCAGTCACATGTGGATACATTGGCCATAGCACACAAGATGATGACTTGCAGTTATGCTCATTTGTCTTGTGGTTTCTGTGATGGTTTGAATTTTTCCCCCCCATTTTCTAGCCACCTGAATGTACCCACTAAGGCTGCTCATCCGGTGGCAATGCTTGCCAATTAAAGTAGGTCTGTGCTAATTGGGCACAGCAGGCCATATGGTTGAAAATGCAGGGTTAAGGAGGGAGGAGGGCGAGCCTGGAGACAATGGGGGACTGAACCAGGCAGGCTGGGGAGGGACTTGCAGCTGTCACTTATCCAGAGGCTGATGGAGAAGGGAATGTGGACTGGCCCAGCAGGTGCAGAGGCAGAGACTTCTGCCTTCTTGCGGCTCTGCCAGTTGAACGGTGAACGGTGGTGCTCCTAGGAACTTTGGAGAACTCCTCCCAGCCCCCAGCTTGCAAAGTCGCACCGTAGTGGTAGGTATCACATAAAAGGCCGCATACCTGCTGTCCCAGCTCCTCCTCACAAACCATCTTTCCCTGAGAAGAGATTGCAGTAACATGCCTGACTGCGTCCTGCTGGTTCACACCATCTGCGAGCTGGTGCTCTCTCCACTCTCATGCTGCCCTACACAGCAGTCCTGCATTCTTCAGATGCTTGGCTGGTAAGCCCCAGTCACTTGCTGAATAGTGTGAGACAGGTAAGGTTTCTACTCTGCACCCGAGAGACCAGCATCGCCCTGGGCTCTGTACAGCCCATTCCACTCCTTCGTGCTCTTGTAGTGCTGCCTGCTGCTCCGGCCGATGCTTCTCTCACACTGGTACTCGGATATCTGGCTTTAGGCTAGTGTAATGCATGTGAAAGGGTTCACCTGGTCCCAGACCTCTCCCCAGGTGGCTACCAGAGCCATATGTCAGTCTCACGCCAGCTGGCAGCATGTTTATCAGATGGTCTCCTCCGAGACAAGCTGGTGATAGAATCAGTTGTGTTTTCAGAAACAGAAGACGACGTTTGCTGTGGAAATAGGGCACAGCTGAACTCCTTAATGTGTGCAGTGCTACTGCAGGAGTTCCTAGCTCCTGGACAGCTTGGCCCCCATACAGCAAAGTGCAGACACGGGCCTAAGCAGTGCGGGGCTCCTGTTCGCGTTGTTAGAGCTTTTGCATCACATCTCCATCCACCCTGGCCCTGCTGAAGGATGCCAGCAGGCTGGAGACCCTGTGCTCAAAGCAGATCTAATCCAGACGACAGCTGCGGTGCCCGTACGCTGTTGGGGACAGCATGTGCAGGGACACGGGGTGCGTTACTGCCATGCCAGGAGAGCTGCACCATGGTCAGCGCCCCGTTTCTCCAGTGGAGGCAAGGCCTAGGCGTTAACGCGCTGTAGACTAGTCACGCCTGCAGTGCTCAGGTGGAAAGCAGAGTCAGAAGGCCAGGAACAGGAGGCATCCTTAGCACGGCCCCTGGGGAAAGCTCTTGCCCTCCCCTCCCCTCCCCAGGTGGGACCGTGTGTGCTTCCGCCCCCCAGTCCGAGGCCTGTCTCTGTGTCCGAGACACATGCTGACGTTTGCAGACACCCGTGTACATTTCTATTGCCTTACCCATACAGACAGCAGAGAGGAACAGAGGCATGCAAGCCAGCAGCATCAGCAAAGTCAGGCAGTCACTAGAGCTCACACAGCTTAGCACCGAGTCCTAGACCCTACCAGTCACCACACCTCAGCAGCGCCCCGCCCTGCCCTGCGGCATGCCGCCTGCCTCCACCTTTCCCTAGGAAAAGCACAGCCCTAACAGGCTCCGGCTGGCCCCGTGTGCGCGCCCCTGCCGCACGGCTCCCCCGCCCCGCGGATGCAGTCGGCACCAGCAACGTGCAGCGCTCGATTCACCGCCGGGTCGGTCGGTCTGTCTGTCTGTCTCCCTCCCAGCGTCAGATCTCTCAGTCCGTGTCTGCCTACGGCGCTGACACGCAGCCGCTCCAACTGTCTCAGCATCAAACGCTGGGGCTTGACGCTGCTGAGAGACAGAGGGCTTTTCTCCCAGCTGGAAGAGAGCAGAGTCCAACGCCTCGCACCTCC